GGGGCACAGCCGGGCCCAGCGACTGAGTCTGGACGAAGCCCCCGCGCCGGCCGAGCTGGCGGCTAAATTTACCCCGGCTGACTCAGCCCTCGCCCGGAATGGGGGGCGGGGTGAGAGCGCTGGGGCAGGGGCAGTGGGAAGAACCGGCGGGGGTGCGGTGGGGGGCAAGAAAAAGAGTCCCGCCTCCGGGAGACAGGGGCGGGCAGATATTTCAACCCAAGAAAGGAACCCCCTCCCCTTCTCGGCGAGCCGAGCCCGAGGGAGCGGAAGAGCCTGGGGGGAGGGTGGCTGTGGGGAAAGGGCTGGAGAACGGAATAGGAGGCCAAGACCAGGTAAAGGGAAGCTTAGATTTATTGAGCGCCACAGGATGCCAGGCACTGTGCAAGGCGCTTTACATACATTATCGCATTAAATCCTCACAACAACCCTGCGAGGTAGGTGTTTATAAACCCCCATTTAACAGATGAGGAGACTGAGGCTCAGGGAGGTGAAGTGATTTGGCCAAGTCCACATGGCCAGTAAATGGCAGAGACAGCGGTGTCCAGGGTTGGAGAGAAAAAATACTTCGGTGTCCAAGTCCCAAGCCAGTTGGCTTGGACGAATACAAAGAGGGGCTCGGCGCGCTCCAGATGTCTGGGAGGCCGGAGGCCTGCTCCCGGCCCCTCCGGGCTGGAGGCGGTAAGGCGGGGACAGGCGCGCGGTAACGAGGGATCGGGATCAGATTCACAGGCAGTGTCGGGGGAGTAGGGACTCAGAGACTGGGAACTGGGAACTCTGCGGCCTGCGCGCGCCCCATCGTGGCTACAGCGAGCATCACACCCCACACCTACGCGCTTCCTGGGACAAGCCTTTCTTGCCTGGCCGGTTTCTGGAAGAAGCAGATTAGAGATTCTCAGGGCTCTTTCAGGTGAGCAATGTCACCTGAGTGGGAAACCGTGGGTTTCAGAGCATCACTAAAGGACATTGGGGTGGAGGGGAAGGGGAGGCCTAAAGAGGTCCCAAGCTGATTCATTGGCTGCCTTCCCTCCCCAGCTTGGACCACCACAGGCCAGGGACAGTGACAAGGCCACTATCCTGTCTTGCCTTGGAGAGCCCTTACCTAAACCTTAGAGACGGATAGGAGCAACCTCCCCACATACTCAGCTCTTTTGCAAGTCCTGAACAGTCTCCTGAATTGAAGATGAGCGCTGGGTGACAAGGAGACCACACACTTTCACTTATTCCTGACTCTTTTTGGCTTGTTTGACAGAGAGGCTCCCCAAAGATCCCAGAATGTTAGGGATAGAGGGATGGACCTATCAGGTGGCATATCAGGAGGCCCAGAGAGGGAACCAGCAAGTCAGTGGAAGAGCTAGGACGGCGAGATCTTTTCCTGCTTTGCTGGTTGCCTCTGGACCCATGTCTCTTTGGCCAAGAACCCCTCTATCACCTGGTCACTTTATCACCCTGTCCAAAGCCTCCTGGTTGCCCTCCTATGACTGCCGCCATCCCTGCCTTCCTGCCTGATCGGCTAGGCCTCTTTGCTCTCAGGTTCCCACTTAACGCATCAGGCCCTGCTGAAGACCTCACCCTTTGCCCTGAGCGCAGCCGCAGGAAATACTGCTCACCCGCACCGCTCCTGAAATAAAACCACAAATGAACATACGCTCCCTTTTCTTTCAGTTCTGTTTCAAGTCTGGGAACGGTAGGGGTACAAGGAAAAGAAGCAAAGGAAGTCCGTGGGGAAAGAGGGGGACTAGTGGGACCAAGGGCGGCTGGGCTGGGGGAAGCGAATACAAGAAGGGGCCTTTCACTGCCTCTCCCTATTTCGCTGTGGGGTCCCCTTGGTGTCCCTCGCTCCCAAGAGGGTCTCTTCGGTTTGACTGATGACATCTAGAATCCCCCGGATACTGCCGCAGTTCTGCTGCCTTCCCGCCTTCCCCGGGCCTGGGATTCCCATCCCCGGGCAGGGTCCTCTCATTCCGCCAGGAGGCGCCTGGAGCTTCTGCGTCGCTTCCATCAGAGGAGCCGCTATGAACGCTGGGCTCCTCAGCTTCGTCGGAGTCTGAATCCGGGGCGGTGTGGCGGCGGGGAC